CGCGCAACCCTCTGCGGAGATCGTGCGTGTCGAGTGCGCGAAATGCAGGCGAGAGTGCGATTTGCCGGGTGCCCGCGCAACCCTCTGCGGAGATCGTGCGTGCCGAGTGCGCGAAATGCAGGCGCTGGCGACTTTCTAGCGCTACTTCAGTACGCGGAGCAATCTGTGGAGCTGGAAGCTGAGAACTGGCGACTTTTAGTACAACTTGAGCTGGGGAGCTGGAAGCTGAGAACTGGCGACTTTCTAGTACAACTCTAGTACGCGGAGCAATCTGTGGAGCTGGAAGCTGAGAACTGGCGACTTTCTAGTACAACTTTAGTACGCGGAGTATCTGGAAGCTGAGAACTGGTGACTTTGTAGTACAACTTTAGTACGCGGAGTATCTGGGGAGCTGGAAGATGAGAACTGGCGACTTTGTAGTACAACTTTAGTACGCGGAGTATCTGGGAAGCTGGAAGATGAGAACTGGCGACTTTGTAGTACAACTTTAGTACGCGGAGCAATCTGTGGAGCTGGAAGCTGAGAACTGGCGACTTTGTAGTGCAATTTTAGTACGCGGAGTATCTGCGGAGCTGGAAGATGAGAACTGGCGACTTTGTAGTGCAACTTTAGTACGCGGAGTATCTGGGGAGCTGGAAGATGAGAACTGGCGACTTTGTAGTACAACTTTAGTACACGGAGCAATCTGTGGAGCTGGAAGCTGAGAACTGGCGACTTTGTAGTACAACTTTAGTACGCGGAGTATCTGGGGAGCTGGAAGATGAGAACTGGCGACTTTGTAGTACAACTTTAGTACACGGAGCAATCTGTGGAGCTGGAAGCTGGGAACTGGCGACTTTGTAGTACAACTTTAGTACGCGGAGTATCTGGGGAGCAGGAAGATGAGAACTGGCGAAGTTGTAGTACAACTTTAGTACGCGGAGTATCTGGGGAGCTGGAAGATGAGAACTGGCGACTTTGTAGTACAACTTTAGTACGCGGAGTATCTGGGGAGCTGGAAGATGAGAACTGGCGAAGTTGTAGTACAACTTTAGTACGCGGAGCATACGGGGAGCTGGAAGATGAGAACTGGTGACTTTGTAGTACAACTGTAGTACGTGGAGCAGTCTGTGGAGCTGGAAGCTGAGGACTGGCGACTTTGTAGTACAACTTTAGTACGCGGAGTATCTGGAGAGCTGGAAAATGAGAACTGGCGACTTTGTAGTACAACTTTAGTACGCGGAGTATCTGGGGAACTGGAAGATGAGAACTGGCGACTTTGTAGTACAACTTTAGTACGCGGAGTATCTGGGGAGCTGGAAGCTGAGAACTGGTGACTTTGCAGTGCAACTTTAGTACGCGGATGAGTCATCTCTCGCGGCTGAGTCATCTCTCGCAGCTGCTCTGGCGCCCCTGCAGCTGAGTCATGTCTCCCGACCACCCGGCTCTCTTAAAAGGTTGACACACACACACAGAGACCCACGCACTGCCTCAACTTACTCGGGGTCACAGACAGAGACTCATGCACACACAGACATAGATACACACACACAGAGACCCACACACTGCCTCAACTCACTCGACTTAACACTTCACACTGAACACTTAACTCACACTCTGACTTCCTACGTGATGAAAAATGCTTTCGGGCCACTCGTCGTCTAGTTATTCTTAATATATATATATATAATAACTTAAGTTTCCCAAAAAAAATTGGGAACCAAATAAATGAGTAGTGCGTGCGCTTCTCAAAGGAAGCTCCCCGCCCTCAGGCTGGGGGGAGCTTCCTTGAAGAAGCGTGAGCTATCCGCGTACTGTTGGTGGTAGTGGTCTTGTTTGTTGCTACTAGCGACTCCCTTGCTTCTACTAGCTGCCTCTAGTTGCCTCTATGGCCTATCCGCCCTTTGGGGGAAAAAAGAAAATATATGTGTTTGATGTATATTGAATATTCTTTTGATGTATATTGGATACACCGGCAACCTCAGGCCCCCCCATAAGGTTGAGGTGGTGTACATCTTTGGCATGGAGTAACATTAGCAGCTTTCGTGTCTCCCAATTCCGCAGCATGACATTTCAAGTTTCCCAGTTTTCCCCAAACATCTAGGAACCAAATCATTACGTCTGAGCTCTAGCCTGCGTCCGATTAAAGCTTGGTAGCTACCCCTTAGCTCACTTGTTAGATCTTGTAGCCTCCTCACGGCCTTTGTTCGCCTCCCGAAACTCCCCTTTCAGATCCTTTCAGAGCTCTCCAAGCTCTTTCCACGTAGGCTCCGGTCAGCGAGATCCACCGGGAGCCTCGGCCAAGTCGGGGAGCCGAAGCCCAGTGGAGAGCCCTGCGATTGCAGCGAGCGATGTGTGAAGACCGTGACTTGATGCACATCCCAACCATACCTAAACAAAGGGACAAAAGGGAACTTTATTTTATGTTTAAAAGGGAACAAGAGGGAAACCAAAAGGCAATTCCTTCCAGTCGATTTCCATTCGGAATTCCTCGAGGAAATCTAAAGGAAAGCCAAGGATATGATCAGATTGGTGAATTTCCTTGCAACCGGAGAGAAATCATTGTCGTATGCCGCACTAAGCAATTCGGCAATTCATGTCTTAATACGATTCTGGGCCGTCAGTAGCGAGTCTTTCGATCAGCCCCCAGTTTTTCAGTTCGAAATAAGGAGTTTTGACAAAAGGGATCAGGTCAGAGTCCCAGGACCAAAGATGGACCAACAATAGGAAAGAACATGAAGCAATAGATAGAGAACTCCAAGGAAGACCAGTAAATCAATACGAACCGCCATAGTGGGGATGGCGGTGGTGGTGGCAGTCGTGGTGGCGATCGTGGTGGTGGTGGTGGTGGCGGCGGCGGCGGCGGTGGTGGTCGTGGTGGTGGTTAGGGCCAAGCCAGTGGAGAAACATGTATGTATAAACCACTGATATAAATAGAATATCGACTCTTGAGAAAGGTTTTCTCTTGTTCCACATACTGTTTGTAACCCCCTAAACTATTTTAAGGTCTGGAACAATTCCACGGTCCACGATCACTTTCTTTTTTCCACACAATTGCTAAATCAAGATGTTACTGTACATTACAGTTGCAGTCTGTTCCTGTTCGTTGGAGCGTGACACGACTGTAGCTGGAATCCACCTAGCTGGCACAGACAGCGAAGCTTAAACACAACGCCTGAGGTCTGTTGCCCGAGTGCCTCGAGACTGGGAGAGCTGGAGTCTCTATCGAAAAGTGAACAGATGTGACAGATGTGGTTTCTTTGATTCATTTTAGTTCTATGTTTCTTTTGCTTGGATTGTTGGGACCAATATGAGGACACAGATACCCTGAAAAGCTTCAAGTCGCCAGTAAGCAAAATCAAACGCAAGTCCTGGCACAATGTGAGGCCAAAGCTCCGACGACGAGAAAAGACACCCTCAGCGTGGTCGCTGGGCAGAAAGCAGCAGTCGTCCGAAGTTTGGATGTGGAACAAACTGCATGTGCTTGTACACACGTGCACTTGTACTCTTGGCTCACACGGCGGAAGTGGGTTGTTGTTATCATTTGTTATTTATGTTATCTAATGGCGGGCACCTGGATTCGCTCCAAACTACCGCTTGGGATGGATTTGAGCCGAGAGTCTTGAGATGTCGTGACGGGTATTTTAGGGACTGTTGTTCATCACACAATCACACAACACACACTTTTGAGCACATTTTTTGCTGAAGCCCCTGATTTTGCCTCCCACGAAATGCTATCGAGAAAGTAATATGCAATTCTTGTACCCACATGTACAAGAACGGCCCCTTTAGCGCACAGTTGTTGAGAGCTACCAGTGCTCTTCGAAAAGACCAGCAAGATCCCTTGACCTGATTTTGCGTCAAAGACATCCGCTTCGTGTCGAGCTCGCAGTGAGTGAGGTGTAGGCCCCGGTGGCCTGCCAGAAAGGAGTCGTTCAAGGAACAGAACGAGTTTCGCCGATCCCAGAGTCGAGTCTTTGAAGAGAGACCTGGGACACTACGTGCGAGCAGGTTTTAACCTTTGCGCGCCTCTTTTCGTTGGACTTGTCACATTGGAGATTTGAGGGTATCTGACACCTGCAAACAAACCGATCAAGCAATATGCCTGGCTTTTGAACAAAGCAAGTGTACAGTCCAAGAGTTCAATCGATTTGGTTCGTCTTGGAGTGGACAGGAGCGCTTTGGAGCGACAAGAGCAAGCTGAACTTGATGTCAGAGACCCAGTGAGAATGCTTCCCTCAATGCAATGACGTGGATCATGGATCATGGTGGTCTGGCGATAGAAACAATTGATGAAGACTCATTGATCGTGGCTCTCCTAGTTTTGAGAGAGCATTGTCCAGGGCAACTAATTGCGCAGAGTGTTTGGCTTGAGAGCTCCCATGACAAGACAACAATAGGAGCATGATTGGCATTCGCATACATAGCTGTGACCATGGCCAGGTCGCTGCGAAGAGGAGTGGATATGGCTCCAAATGGTGCAAGCATTGCCAGCTGTTGTTTTTCTTCTCCTTTTGGGTTGCTCTACATGGCCTTTTGAGATCTTTGTGTTCTAGTAGCTTCTGAAAGCGATGCACTTGTTACTGTCAGCTTTCTGAAACTGATCCGGCCCCGAATTGATAGAGCATCTTTGAGATCCTCCGGAGACCTGCTTGGTGCGCGCGGAGTAGGGAGTGGAGCGACTGGTGCACACCAGGAACCAGCACTTTGGCCCACGGTCGCGCAGCTCGCGGAGCCGGGACGTTGAGCTGACCATTTTCACGAGCTTTGTGTCATTATGTCATTTGGTTTTCAAAGAAGCTGCTGCTGTTCTATTGGTCATGCAATGATATGCAATGTGGAGCAGAAACGAGAGGGGCCTTGTTTGACTTTGGATAGCTTTGTCTAGGTCGCAGCCGAGATGGCTTGAATGGCAGAGACAAAGAGGAAGCAAGGCGAAGCGCACTGAAAAAGAACATGGACTCTACCAGTGGAAAAAAAAAACATGTCACTCTCAAAATCTCAAGCATCTCTGCAAAAACCTGCAAAACTCGTCAGTGCTATGCCGGAACTGAACCAGAACATGCTGGAAATCATTCGTTTGACCAGTGGATGACCGGCAAGCATTGGTGGCCCATGAGCCGTTCACAGTGTTTTTCTGCTGCAGGTCCGTTCCCAGTGATGCCGAGGCCGGTCCGCACAAGTGGAAACGCGGGGATGCAAAACCCTCATGGAACCTCTAAGGGTGTAGATCAGAAAGGGACAATAGTATGCAAGAAAAACAATCATGAATCAGTTCCAAGGTGCCTGTGGACTAGCAACATGGAAAGGTTGTGGGTGGCATGCTTGGGCACTGCTTTGATAGATATGAGTCCTTCGAGGAACAAAGAGGATCAACTCAAACTCTCACGACTGAAATGGGAACTAATGGCCCAGCAGTAGGAACCTCAGTGGACTCTTTCTTTTGCTGGGAAAGTGGATTCCAGGAGGACAATAATGCTTACTATTCCGTATCGCTCAGCAACTACATCCGCCGCGCGTAGACGGCGGTGCATCCATTGATCTGAACTCAGCTGCCTTTTGTTCTTCGAGGGCGTAAACGAACAACTTGCTAATCTGTACAAGAACTTCGTCTGCAGAGAGGTTTCGCATGGTTTCGCAGGCAGGGAACGGGGCCACACCCATTGGTAAAGCAACAGATCTTTCCAGACACCAGTTTGGGGTCCAAAAACTCAGAAACCGGCTTGCTATAGAGGCCGTTCAAGTGTGTAACCCAATGTTCGGAGCCCACAACAAATGCTCGTAACGCTGCAAAACATCCAAGCGGTGTGCATCTGTCGCATGCCTCCAGAATCAAGCGAAACTTTGCGCTATTTCGCCGGCAAAATTTTGCCGACAAAAAAAGCCTCCGTTGTGCCCAGAAACGGACTCCAAAATGGAGGCTAATTCAGTTGGACTCAATTTGATCTGGTCTTCATTCTCTTTGTTCGAAGACCTCAAGGTTGTTGAAGGGTTTGAGAGAATCTGACCTTGGTTGTTTGGAATGATCTTAACCTTGCTTGGAACGTGCTTGAAGTGACGTTGGTGAACAAATCCTTTTTCGAGCAGCAGAAATGTCGAAGAAAGTCCCGTCAGCGCCCACCCTGATGTGGGCTTGCAAACCCACAATCGCATCCTCACCTTCACAAGGCGGCTTGCTGACGATATCTTTTGTCATGACAATGTTGTGAAATCAATTTGCCCCCACCCAACCCCCACCCCACCCCATTTTAGTCACACCAGTAATTGGACAACGTTGTGACATCGAGGACAATTATGACAATGTTGTGATATCGATGACAAACCACAAGTACTGTAAATACCATGCATTTCTACATAATTGCTCGAAACCATGGAAAGTACCTTAGCAAACACGACGCTCTCCCCAGTGGCCCTGCGGACACACAGAAAGTGCTGTAAATACCACACGGAACTTGCGAAAAAGTAGTCAAAATGCCACGGCCCTCTACGCGAGGCAGGCCATCTACTGTACAGGTTTGTTTGTTTGTTTATTTGTTTGTTTCGTTCGTTCTGTTCTGCAAATAGGTTCTATGCATCACTCCCATTCACCATACAATATTGAAAGAGCAACGCACTCACCAGAGCACACCCGATGAATAAGAGTGACTTGTGGTTCGTGGGGGAATTTTGCTTCAAACCTGTTCACCAAGCATGGCAATTTCCACGGTGCCTTCATGACAAGCCTGCCTGATCAACTCTCGAACTTGCCATCACAGCCCGAATATCGTCACCCCAAGAATCTACACGGCTCGGGCAATAGACAAAAGGTCGCAATGTTTGGCGATGTTTGGAAGGGGCGACCATGGGGAACCTCTTTGCCAATCAATGCCGTGGCTGAGGAAGTGGAAGTCTGGCGACCTGCTTGGCGGCGTTCTGTTTCTGCGCGAAAGGAACGCTGCCAAGCGGCGTTCGTTCGATGAACTTCGGGTCTCAGATTTGTCGCTGCCTGGTGCGACTCGGGAAGCGATCGACACATCAATTCTGCGATATTTGCAGTCGAAGAGGCTTGACAGGTTCATGAGGGTTAACCTCTAAGCTGTATTAATTTTCGTTTGAGCAACATGTAGAAGATACTCGACACCCCACAAAAGTCCCTGTTTCTCTCCTGCGGCAGGAGCTGCCCTCAAGAAGTTTGTCCCCAGACGGACAGGGAACCCAGAGAGTGAAACATCTTTGTCGTGCTTGATTGTGTTTGCCTGATTCAAGCCCTGAAACTATACTCGTACCAGTCTGTTTGATTTCTTTGTCAGATGTTGGGTTCCTTAGTTTTTGCATGTCTTTCAAACACTTTCAAGTTTAGGGACTTGGTCCTGGGGAGCTGTCACAACGTCAGGTGCAAGATCTGCTGAGCCTGGTGCTGCGCTTTTCCGTTCTTTGAGGGCTTGCCAGCTCCTCAGAGTCGGAGCAACTTTGTCATCCAGGTGAACTTCAAAGCGCCTTTTCAAGATGTGACTGCTAAGAGTCAAATAGACAGAAATGAAATATTATGTATCTTTAATCTGAGTGTTAGAAGTTCTATTCAAGCATTGATGCATGGTGATAGATGTGTATTCATAGTTGCTCTGATACATTTATAGGTGCATGATGGTATCAGTGTTGACTGGGTCTTCCCTATTTCCATTGGCTCGTAATTGGATATCAGCGTTCCATTGGGATCAGCTCCCGGGGGTGACTGGGGGATGACTTCTTAGAAACAGCGTTGCCATGGTGATTTGGAATTGGCATTGAAATAGTAGCAAGGGGTGACTAAGGGAAGACTTTGTCAGGTTCCTGTAGATGCAGATGTTTAAGCAAAATCAAAAACATCAAGCAAACATACTGTTTCTCAACACATCTCAACCAATCGCTGGTTGCTCCAGTCCAGCACGCAGAAAGAGGCTAGAGGCTCTCCGATGCGCATTGCGTCCCGTCCGCGTCCCGTTGCAGGCAGGAACTTGTCCTGGAACACTCGCCAGGCAGCGCTCTGGAGTGGAATTCTTCAGGGGATTCTTGAAAGGCCCTAGAGTGCGTGGGGAGACAGCTGGAAATTCCATTATTCTATAATGTTCTTTCATTTTTACATCTACTCTAGGATGGCTTTGGACTGTTACAGATACTGTAGGTCTTGCCTCCACATGACCGTTCTCTGACTTGGATATCATGCTCCTGCCCTTGAACATGTGTGTTCTCGCCAGATCCAGCTGCCGACTGAGAAGTCGTACAGAGCCAAGGATGATATGTTGCAGGACGGATGTGGGTCAATAGCCTACATCCGAAGACAGAGGCTTCAGTGAATACCCTCGGTTGATTTTGTTCAATGCTTACCAGTATTCTCCAGAAGTTGACATGACCTACACTCACAACGTGACTTGCTACATGGCGTTTCTACTCACGTTTGGGACTGAGGTGTCACTGGATTCTGCGATTTCCTTTGGACTTGGAGGTTTGGGGCTCAGCCGGTGAGAACAAGTGCGGGGAAGACAATATATATATATATAATTCGAGTATATATATATATCGAGATGTACATAGTATATATAATATACTTACCTAATTGCGATGACCTCCAACCTAATAGGGATGGCCTCCAACCTGTAGGAGTCTAGGACCCTGAGATCCTGCTTGGTGAAGCATGTGAAAGAGACATAGAAGCAGAGTAGCCTTGAGACAAAGGAGGATACGGATAAAGGTCTTTGTGTGATTTGTGTGCGACATGCTGAGCATGTGCGCATGTGAGGACACTCAAGAGTGTCGACTTGAGGGAAGATGCATCCTTGATCTACCCATATCTACCCAGTCCACCCTTTTCCTCCATCTCTGCATGCTTGACATGAGTCATTGAGGCCCGAGATCGGCCTGATGGACGTGTGTAGGTCTGGGCTTCTTCGGCGGGTAGCTGTTAAGTCTTCGTCCGCATGGGTGCGACAGCTGGTTTATATATTGTTTCTACTAGCTTCTTGTTACTACTAGTAAGGCACTTGTTACTAGTAGCGATGCACTTGTTCCTAGTAGCGAACATTGTTACTAGTAGCGTCCTTGCTCCTAATACATGAGCCAGTCTTGCCGGCTGATACGCTAGTTCATGCGATGGCCAAGAGCTACAAGGAAGACGACTCTGCATCCCGCTGAGCTCCGAAGCTTTGCCTCTGAGTGTTGCGAAAAGAAATGGTGTTGTATGGAGCGGTCGGAGGTTGTTGACGCGTTGCTTCAGTCTAGGCGTGTGTGGTAAGGTCATTGAATTCTTTATGGACAATATTGCGAATCTGTTCCCTGCTTCTCAAACTTGCGCTTGACTGAATGCCCAAGGCCAATTTTGGGCAGAACGTCGCAAGAATTTCGGCTCATACCGTTCCATGGGCGCTTCTTTTGCAGCCATGACATGCGAGCATTTTTTGTTCATGTAGCACAGCAACAGCCTCACGGTTGCTCGGAGTTTGTTTACAAATCCTGTTCATGGATTCACAGTCCCACCCATGAAGTCTCGATGCCAAGACCCCGCAAGACGGCAACAAGGTTCGGCTGGGCGCCGTTCCGATCACGAGTGGGCTGCAAAGAAGAAAAACAGCAGAATGATGCAATTGGCGCTGGCGCATCCTCTTTTCAGAGCTTTGGTTTTGTTTCAAGTGACCCACCAAGTATTGTGAAAATGAAAGCCCAGACAACCACGCCAAAGCACATGTAAAGCAAACCCAGACTCAGGCCCATTCTCAAATTCTGGTCAGCCCCAATCTCAAGTTTGGCGACACCTCGCCTTTCCAAACCCAGATCCCAGCTTAGGCTTGGATGTGAGTTCTGTGAATTTGGATGTGAAATTGATTGAAATTGAGCGGTGTCATTTTTACAAATGAGGTTACACAGTTTAACAGCGTTTCTTGTTTGGTGTTTTCCAGTCTCACTTTCTGGTTGCTTTGATGTTAGTTAGAAACTTGTTTTTTACTGTTTTTTTCTCCCAGAGTTCCCTGTCTGGGGAATTCGTACTCACAAACCAAGTACTTGTGAACGCTGAACTTGAACAGGCAAACTTCTTCAAGATAGATATAGATTGTCGGAAAGGTCCTGATTGGACAGAGACTTTCCGGCAGGTCCGGCCCTCCACTGCCACCTGGTGACGTTGCACTGGCAGGGTCCTTAAATGTCAGGTTAGCCTGACACCTCCTCAGATGGCCCAGCTGGACCAACTTGGGGATTGGATGGATTGATATTTGAAGTTCGTAGAACATCCGAAGGATTCTCAGCCAAGGATTCATGGCGTGTTGTTCGCCGCAAGTCTTCTGGACCTTTTTTGGTGCCCTTGTAGCCTTAGGAGCCACCCGCCTCTGTCCTGGGCGAGAGGTGAGGGTGGAGTCGAAGCCCAAAAGCGAGCGTTCTTTTGAGCCATGCTGGTGGGAAAGCAAAGACTCACTCACACAGAGTCAGCGGTATTGCACAGGGCCTAACGATGGAAAACGTCTCCTTCTGGGGCCGATGTGGTAGTCGACCTTTGTGCGCCGCATACAGTAGTCTGGAGATACCGTATTCCGTCTACCTATATATTGTCCTTTGTCGACTGTTAATGTGGGAGACATCCGTCAGGTAGGCACTGATCTCATGATAAATCATGACTTGTTTTCAGGCGCCAATGCAAAATGCAAACGGGGCACCAGCAGAACTCATACACTCTCCCTACCAAAGATGTTCTGTGTCATACTCCATACTCCACAGATTTGGGTTTATTTTCCACGATGCGGGTTCTGCAGGTTTTCACATCTCCTGCACGTTTTCTGAAAGACGCCTATATATACGGTATAGGTTAGAGGCACCACAGGACACTGCTCAACATTTCGACCTGGCGTTGCATGGTGTTGAATGCATGTGTGGCCAGTATCAGTATCAGTGTCAGAGTATCGAGGAAGATCAAAGAGTAATGGCAACTTCTCTGTTTTTCGTCATTCCGTATTGAATATTGGATGTTGTGTCTACTGAATGGTTGTAAAGCAGTGTTGAATCGCTGCATGGATGGGACAGCCAAATGTCGTGCCTGACAGGAAGCCGAAGGCATGTGCATCCTTAGGAGCCTGGAACTTAGAAGACAGAGCTTTTGCAACCTCTGCAGGTGCCGTGGTTCAAGGTTCCTAGTTTCTAGCGCCCTGTCATTGGGCCATTGATTTTCATTGGTTTTCGCTTGTCACCATTCTGGGCATGTGTAGGACCTTCGTAGGGTGCCGCAGTCTGCAGTGGCATCCAAGGAATGGCTGGAGATTGGAGAGATGCAGCATCCAGAGGGTGCGGAAACTCAGCACTTTACAAGGTTACATCATTGGTGTATTCAGTGTATTCTCAACTGAGGGCTGTTGAACATACCTACATTCATGGCTTCATTCTTCGAAGCACTTTCTTAGGTTGTATTGCTTTTTTGGTTATGCCACCACCATTCAGAATAGCAAAAGTATTTCGCTGAGCTGGTTCTTCCAGCTTGACAGATGCCACTTGACAGATGCATGCTCTTGGATATGCAGGGTAGCTAGTGTTTCTGCAAGACATTCAAAGGTGCAACAGATGTTGCAGAGGCCCTACATGAATGTAAGATACTGAGACCACAAGATCGAGAGTCATCGTTTGCACAGGCAGCACAGCGAGAATTGGCCTCCAGATGCTGAGAAGTGCAAGCTTGCCTCCGGGGTATGGCTTTGAATTTGCCTCACACTTAGCATTGCTCATGACCCTGGAATTCCAAGTATAATAGTAGAGTGGGCCAGCAAAACAAACAAACCAGCGAACAAACACACAAACAAACATCGAACAACCAATTTCCTTCAACGATGCACCGGTCTTTGTTCGATTCTGTCTCTCCCAGGATCGTTTCTTGCGTCGGGTCGTGCTACGCCACGCTGCGGGTGTTGTCATCCACGGGCAGCCAATGCTGCTCCTCGACCAAAAGGTAGAGTTACTGTATATATCTGTATATAAAACACGTATCATATTACATTATATACAATGATATAATGATATGTACATATTCACACCAGTTTATTCACGGGGCATTTGTAAATCGAGTGAAGTGTTGGATAGAATCCGAGGAATGAATGGGCGTTGCTTCCCGACTAGAAAGGCAGTGCCTGATCGTTGGTAGAAGCACCAATTGAACCTCACCTTCTGGTGTTCTGTTGTCACTAGGACGCAAAGCAGTTGCTTGAAAGATGCAGTTACAACCAAGGGTTTCCTGCGATTGTGATGATGAATTTGATGCAGAGCAGCTTGGTTGCACGAGTTTATGGCTTTGACAAAGACTTGCGCCGCATTGTCCGCATTGTGGAACTTGAGCTCTTGCTACGGTACTCACTCGATAGCATGTTCACCTCGTTCTGGCTTTGCACCGGTGATTGGATTTGTGAACTCCGTTGTGAAAGCTGTTTGCCAGGCTCCGGTATCATTATTGCACTTTCCACGAGTTTGGCGCTGGCCTAAGGATTGTTATTTGTGGCATTCAATCCTCAGAAAGTTTTCAAAACGTAGTGTGATGCGGGCATTTGGGTACAACTCAATCACATAACAACTCGATAGCCTACACATGTAACAAATCCAACCTTAAAGTTTCAGTCCTTAGAACAAACTGAATGACCCAAAGTCTAAGGCCTAGTGCATCCCCCGACTCCCAATCACCATTCCGCAAGGCCGATTAGTGACAGGCCGACAGCGCGCATCTAAGAGCTTGATGTCGTCGGTTGATGAGCTCAGACTCATCCAAGCGACTGTGTCCAGCATACATGCAGATGTGTTAGTGTTTCCAAACATGGTGGGTGGTTCAGTGGTTCAGTCAAGGTAAGTGCTTCTTGCATGTATCAAGCTTGCTGCTGGATCAGAGTGACTGGAGAGCTGGGAAAAAGATTAGCCACAAAACTTACACTCAGCTTCTGACACGAAAGCAGACAGACAAACCGGGTTGCTGCATTTGTTTTCAGCGATCAAAAATCAATATTTTGTAACCATGATATCGAAAGAGAATGGATGTGGTTGTTCAGAGAGATCATTTTTCATTTTGCGGCTTCGTTCTGACCAGACTGCACTTTCCATTTTGTGGTCTTTGAGATGGCAAGATGTCCTAAATCTAGCAAAATCTGCAATACCTACAGGGGACATCAGGAGACATTTATAGACGGTCGGAGCCATGGTGCTATGGATGATTGGACTGGGATTAGGAGATGAAGGTGATATCTCCGTGAAAGGCTTGAAAGCCGTGCAACGGCCACTTGGCTGCATCTGAAGCTTAATCCTTGTTCACCAGCCCTGAAGCTGGTATATACTTCAAGAATCGCAGGAGCCCAAACAACTGGGACTGGTCATGCCCTACGAAGGGTTCTGCTCGTTCGCTGGGTTTAATCAGACTGCTACATATGTTCAGTGTCTGATGGTACCACTCTTGACCACAAAACTCCGCTGAAGCACAAAGGGGTCGAAGGGGCTTAGCGCAGCACAATTCAATGATGCTTAGCACACTGCTTGCAGGAGTGCCTTTGTCTACCTTGAAGCGTGTCTTGGCGTCTCCAATGTAGTCTGTGGGGTGGAGATTGTTCTCATTCACATGCTATCGACAGTCTCTTGAGCTTTGTGTCTGCGTTTTGTGCATCGGCCATTCAACCATTTCTAGGTACACCTCAATTTTGCCCGGCCTCGACCGGGAAACCTTGGCAGCTGCGCAACTTGTTCAAAGCAATGCAACAGCAATATCAAACAATTGGAGTCACGGACTGGCGAAGAAAGAACATTGGCATCAATAGAAGTTAAATCAATGAACCTGCAGTTGGGGTGTTTGATGTTTGACCAAGAAGGAAGATATGAACCATTTGGTGCAGGCTGCAACACTGTAGATGATCACAGCCAGTGAGACCAACGCGACCGAGGTATGGCGTCTCCGAAATCATCGAAGCCGACCGTGAGTTGGTGGAGAGTGGCTGTGAGGAGATGCTCGATCGAGCCAAGGAGCTCAGGGGGCACATCAACAGATGATTCATGAGTTGGGAGTGTGGGAAATTGATGGTAATTGGAAGTGTGTAGGCAGACAATGATTTTTGGTTCCTTCCTTTCTTCTTTTGGATTGGAACACCATGCTACGTACACCTGTATCACCCCTCGGTGGACGGAGGAGCACGAAGTAGACCAAAGCTTGCCTGCAGATTTCTACTGTTTGCTTTTTTGACATTTTGTGTTGGGTTCTCCTTCTTATCCAGGTTTGACTGCACCAGCATGTCCAAGCAAGTTGCATCGACCATTGATGCTGCATGTTGTTCAATCATAACTAACCCTGAAGAAGCTAGGTGTTCGATATAGCCGTGGGTCAACATGGTGGATAATGATGCCTAGGGCCTAGATAGATGGACCATTCCGTTCGATTTCGGTGTGTTCAGCGCTTGGACCCACAGACAGTAGTAAGAGTTCTTTTGCAGCTTACGAGGCAGCATGGGAGGGATGGTTTGGGTTTTGACATTTGTATTTTACGAACATGCTCACGTACAGCACAGAAACACTATCATGTTCAACCTCAAGTCCTCAAGTGGATGGGAACAATCAGAAGTGTTCTTATTTTACATTCTCCAGACCTCACTGAGCTCAAAACCCTGGCGACCTACAACAGTGAAGCTTAAACTATAATTCTCATTAATTATCTGACTCATTCTCCTCAGGACAATGAGGTGCAGCTTGACTGCAGATGAGCTCCACTATGCAAATAATTCTTCAGAATTTCTTGGCCACTTTGATTTGAATCGCCCAAGGTCATTCTTAGTTGTTGGAGATCCGCTCTGCGCGACGACTCACACTGACCTATGGCTACGTGCCAGGCGCGGAAGGATTTTCAAACGGTCAAGCTTCTTGGACAAACGGTCAAGCTTGCAGGCAGAAGGATATTGCCGTGCAAGTGCTGCACAATGCATCGGTCGTTGCCTTAAGCTTTGATATGTCTCACTGCGTTCAAGTTAAGTAGAGGAATCAGACAACTTGTGGACAATTTCTTTTTTGGCCGCAAGGGTTAGCTGGAGGTCATGAACGCTGTAGCATCTTGTGGGCTACAGCTGTATCGCTTTGGTGAGACAGTGTCCATTCCCTACTGGCTGGATGACTGGCGCCCAGATAGTTGGTACGACCCTTGACACTTTCAGAGGGCGGAATCTTCAGAGTGTTTTTCAACCGTGTGTTGGCCTACTGTGCAACTCGCTTTGAAGTTGTTTTCTGGATTCTTCTGGAACTATATATATATACATGGAATTACATGGATGTTGCGTGTTGTTGCGATGTTGACGCCTGTTGTCCAGGACAAGATCTTGAAGAATAAGAAAGCTGGCTTGCACACCTTGTGCTTGCTTGACATCAAAGTTAAGGAACAAACAGCCACTCGGAATCACTTGGATCACAGTCACTGGATGGAGCAGACTCAAAAAGCTCGGATTGACCAGAGGCGTTTGATGAGTTGGGCCCAGGTGGAAAATCTCATGCGAGGCCGCAAGATCTATGAACCGCCCAGGTTCATGACTGTGACTTGAAGCTGCACAGGAAATATTTTGCAGAAGAGATTACACCTGGGAAGATTAACATGGAACCTGAAAACAAGCCTTTGGAAGCTAACTATTTTCCTCTACAAACCAGTAACCAGTGGTTTTCAGGTTCCATCTTAATCTTCCAGAGCGTAGTATCAAAGATTTTTCTGCTTTTACTTCTTGCTAAGGGGTGTGTTTCAAAGGAGTCAATGACAATGCTGCCTGGTGGATGGTAGAGATCACCATTTCCATTGGGAAGACCGATCCTGTCTGGTGTTGAACTCACCGTGGTGCCTTGCGGAGCAAGGTGCGGCAAGCCTTGGATCAGCTCTGCAAAGTGGAAAAGGACAGGGCAGTGGAACCCTCCTCAAACATCTCAAACTGTGGAACATGGCGAGGATCTCTCCTGGTGGCCTTGTATCGTTTCCTCTCAATGTCAACCCTTACTGCCGAACGAAAGCTGATAATGAGAACATACTTCCCTGTGTCGATGACCCAGGATCGACAAGAGGGCGTGGCTCCATCTGATGCCATGTGTTTTGGCTTGGCACGCTTGGGCCGCGAAGACCAGGCACAGGAGAAAGATTGCATTTCTCACAGTTTCTCCTCACAGATGCAGCCAGAGTTCATGTGGCTAACTGATTGAGAGATGACTATGGGCCATGACTGTATGACCCAACTGCAGATTTGGTGTTATTCTTTTGGTGTGAGCCATGACATCTAGATTTAGATCGATTCAGATTTGGTATTTTCGACAAAGCAGAGCCACGTTGGCAGGTCATCCGGGCCGGCACGGTGGAGAAGATTGCCGAGGTCGACTTTGGAGGGCCTTTACATTCCCTGGATTGGGGCTGAGTCTGTTGGGCCGTTTTTGAATGTTTGCGCTTGTTCTTTTCCGTAAAGACATCACTCTTTGGGCTAATTGTGTGGTTCTCGTGAGGGTTTTGATCTATGATGTTGCTGCCTAGGTGATTTGCGCAGAGGAGCTACACGAGCTAGAGCAAGAGTTTGTCGACTTCTATCGACAAGAATGAAAAGAGCCGTGGATGAGGCTACACTCCATGCATCTTTGCAAATAGGACGCTATTGGGTGGAGGACATCGCTAGTAGGTTGAATGGCGTCCATGAGGCTACACTCCATGCATCTCCCCGCTCCCCAAAATTCAACGCTTGGCAACTTCGACTAAGTTCACATCATAGACCCAGCTTGGAAGGAACAGTCTACTAGATCACGACTGGCAAGAGTGCGATGTAGTGGAGAACCATGTCTCTGTGCACCAATGCATCAATGAATGCTGGAGATCACAAGGTGCTAGGACCAGGAGCTGCTCTTTGTTCTTGACCAAGGTTTGATCCCTCGATTTGGAGGTTGCGGTGGGGTCGATGGGGAGACCATGGGAAGCCATTTTGAAAGAGCAAGCGACTCACCGAAGTTCTGCTGTGTTCATGTTTTGCCAACTTTGATCAATGGTGTTGATCCTTCTCAGGGAATGTAGTGGAATGTAGCCATGTGTCAATCAATTTTGTTGGCCTTTCAGCTTGCTTTTGCCATCATTTTTCCACGGGTGGCATCCATGGTTCATTCCGCAAGGCACCAACACACTTGCAAGCGCGAGCCCAGTGTCTTCAAGGGAGCACAGGAGCCCAAGTACAGCTTTATGGGCATCGCCCTGGGCGATTTTGAGCACAGCCGCATTCACCTACCTTCAGCTTTCTGGTTCTCAGAAGATATCCGCTGGCCCCGGTGCCAGGACATTGCTGAATGGCTACGTGCTAACGACCTGCCAAAAGCTCATTTTTCGAACTCATTGAGCTGGAAACGAAGAACTCGTATGGCTTCGCGTGGCAGCTTCTCATGGGTTTCATGTCTCCTGCGAGGAAAACAGGGCTGGGCTTTTGTGTGCCTTTGCGCCAAGCTCCGCCTTTAGGTTTGCATCTTGGGGGAGCTGGGAAATTGACTTGTAGACGGAGTAGCTACTTTGGGGTACCACCAGATGTTCGATTGTCAGTAGCTCGGAGTGGTTTCGCTCCAAGCGTTTCGCACGTTTCGCACCGCAGGCATCAGCTCGCATCTCACCAGTTCGCCTTCTCAATCTGAAGCCGATGACGAACAGCTCTTCTCACCAGGATCTGCTGCTCGATTTCCGACCACAAAGTAGGCCCCAAAGAGATATCGCGATAAAGAGTGAATCCTCCTGAACATCTAGCAGGCATCCGTTTCTATTTGCTTGTGCACCTGCACAGTCAGCTTGCCGCGAGTTTCCTCTCCGCTTGATGTTGCACATACCACCAGCGACATCAGGATCTCGGCCATCACGGCAATCTGCAACTTCTGGCGAGGAACGCGGTTCG